CGGAACTCGTCAAAGGGTTGGCGATCAGCATTCAGTTGCCGACACAAAGTTGTCTTCTTGCTTGGTATCATTGCAGTCAAATGCGACAGTAAAAGTGCGAATACTATGACTTGCAGAGAGCTCTCAGTACTCCAGCACTTGCCTACGTTGCATGAGCACTTTACTGGTAGCGACAACACCCGGGCGTCTGTCCGATTGCACTGCTCGTTTATCAGCCCCAGTCAATCATGCGGGCAAATCCAGCGCCACTGGTTTCGACGAAACCGTAACCGCGCACCCTGTCAAGCGAGAATCTGCCTAGCATCGCTCTCGTGGTGTGATGTACGAAAGCATGCGGCCACGGGCCAGCGGTTCTGCACTTGGCGTTTTTCAGCTTTGGTCCGAAGCGGTAAACGCAATTTCAAGAGCTGAAGGGAGTGTCCGAGCGAGCCTATCGGCAGAGGCCGTCAGCGCTACGCTATTGGTGGCGCAAGGCTGAGTCTGCCAAGATGGCAGCTGGTAAACAGCCGAGACCCTCGAAATGGTACTGTACGCGAGAATGCGAAAAGCGGTACCTTTCAAGTTCAATTTGACAGTAAGACCCGTTGGTACTCGAGTGCACCAAGGACGATGCATCACACAGATTCCTGCGCCCGGCGAATGTCGCAGCTGCACCTCTCAGGCGCAGGCATGTCTTCGAATAACACAAACTCGTTTCGCGAACGTCTTTCGTGATGCGTAGGCTGTGTATGCTCCTACAGATCTCAACTTCAACTCAAAACTTCAAGTTCTTCACCGTTTGCATGGCGCTCGTTTAAGAGGCGGCAAGCCCCGCATACCGTACATTCGCATGAACAATGCTTCAAGCCACACCAGATGACTAGGATAGGCGATATGCAAAGTCCCCGAGGTCGCCCACCGCGCCAACAAAGCCAAGAAATGGACAACATCCAGTCCGATGACTGACACCCACATGGAGTGTCACCACCGTGTGGTACTGAAGGCCGCATCGATAAGGCCTCGACCCTTTCTAGACATGTCTCCTGCATACAGGGTCCACCCAAACGCCACAATATCGTGAAGTGGAAGTTAGAGGGTCCAAATGCGAGAGAATGGCCAATCCAAGAAAGGGTGATTTTGAGCTGAAGTCCAGGATACAGTCAAAAGCAACGACTCCAAAAATGCGCGCGTCCAGGCAGGCGCTATATCCTCGTGCCACCTGACCACATTCTTTTAACGGACCTGAACCTGATAAGACTAGACACGATCGCCGGCCTCAAGGTCTCTAAAGGGCAGGCTCAAGACTACCGCCGCTCAGTTTCATAAACCGACGTTGAATGGTACAAAGACTCTCCGGCCTCCACGTCGATCACCCGCTAACCATCTCAAGGCTTACCCTCCAAATCTCTCTGGAAGACACGGAGGTGGCTTCGATCCCGGCAGTGACACTTTTGTGCAAGTACCGCCGCATCAGCAATTTTATCCGGTGCGTCTTTGCTTCTGTCCTGTTGATTTGGGATACCCACCTGACCTCATTCATCAGACGCAACCGCACCACGGAGGTGGTTACGACCCAAACAACACTTCTCTGAAGCCTGCGGTTGTTGTGCAACACCAACCAGTCCCACACCCACAGCCCACGGTCGCGCCTCAAGTACGTTCCCGCTTCTCCGTTCTCCATGCCTTTCTCATAGATGCACAGGCACCAGTTGAATATTATCATCAGCCACATCAACAGTATCAACAACCGCCGCTCCAGCATTCCAACCAGCAGTCAAGCTTCATAAATCGACTGTGTGCTTGCTTTGCCTAGCATTACTCACGCCATGGCGAAGATGATAGGCAATGACGCTCAGGCGTCTGTCCGCGAAGTCGCACCATATGGACATCCCCCTGCCTCCCAAGACGACCATGAAGCCAATCAGAGGCGTCTAGGACAGTCAGTGATAGAGGTATGAGGCTCGGAATTTGGAGTACTGTCACCTGCTGACGCAATCAAGCGGAACGGGTTAATCGCTCCCAAGGGATACGCACATATCTTCTCCCCATGGACTACAATGAAGTGGGAGCGCCCCAACTTCTACCGCAAGCCCGGTCTTGCGTACCAAAAGCTTGGTCAGCACCGACATCGAGACATCTTTGACCGCGAATGGACTGGCGACTACGATGACCGCTACATCTCATCTTGGGACGGAAAGGTCTCCAAGCTTGTCGTACAAGCTGTCGATGATATCTACGAGAATAATACAGGCTCTACCCACAGGCGCACCTTCGTCCGCAACGTCGCACCTATCTACATGCGATTGGCGAACTGGCCGTTCAATCACATCGACTTCGCGCGCAATCACGGCAACATCCCTAACGAAGATCTTCCTATGCTTTGTCTCAAGTGGTTCGTCGCATCCTGCTTCATCACAATCTTTGTGAGTCCATTCCATCCGCATTTTGATCACCCAGCTGACGGCGCGTTTAGATCTCCAGTCCAAGCCCTGCTGAGATCGCGTCCCGCAACGGTGGAAGCTACGATGGCCTGCCATACCAGTACTTCGGATATCCCAAGGTCGCCAAGAACGCGATCGAGATGCACAGGCCTCAAGGCCATGCTTCGAGTCAAGCTAACCCTATTGCCGAACGTGTGTTGCGTCCTCGATATCTCTGCTTTTTAAGAGAGGCAGGAAAGCCAGCCATCATCACCATGGTCGACGATTGGTAGGTCAACAATGGCGTACCTCTATTTCATCTCTGACATCTGCAGGCTGGCTCAACACGATGCCCATAACCTCTCGTACGTCTTCATCGCGTATACAGCTGAGCAGTTCAACACTCCCGAAGACTTCGGAGTTCTACATCAAATGGCTGACGTGGCGGCGCGCAATGCCGGCGTTATTGCGTATTGGGTGGGGTGCTCTTGCATGCCCGACAACCAGCTCGAGGAAGATGTAAGCACATAGCCCATTCGTATGGTTGTACCCTCGCTAACACAGCTTGGAGGTCTATCGCATATGTGACGTCATTCGAGGCGCGCAATCTCTTGCAATCGCCGTGTGCCCTCCAGCAAACAACCGTTATGAGATCAACACACCTGATCTCATGCTTCAACAATGGGGCTACCGGGTATGGACCTTTCCTGAAGTCCTCCTGGCACCGGCTGGCAAAGACATCTGCGTCTATGTGCGCGACAGTGATCTGTCACAGCCACTTCAAGTGCCAAAGAACCAGTTTGCTGCCCGCGTCTGGCAAAATGATGCACACATCGCGCGACAGGTAAGATGGCCTCCAACACCGACATCCACATGACCGCTAATCCCCGCAGCTCATCGACCATTACGAGGGGAACTTGATCCTCAGCCAGCTCGAGCTGGTCACGCTTGCTCTGGAATGCTTGCATAACCGCGACACCACTGAGCATCTTCCCGGAGATCACAGCTACGCATTGATGGGTTTGCTCCGTGTCAGGCCACAAATTGATCGCACGGACTCTGCTTTCCAAGCGTTCGCTCGGTATGTCGTGACTCGACTGCAGTCACTCGTCGCATTGCTAACATCTCACAGACTCTCTCTTGCGAACGGCAGCGATCAGCTTCTCGAACGCCTGATCTGCATGTTGCCCAAACATCCAGACCAGCCTTGGCATTCCATGGACGATGCATACAACGCCAAGCTCTGGGACATACTGCCACAAGATGTCGGCATCGCCGGCGTTGGAGAAGACGACAGCATCATCCTTGATGGTTGTCGGGCTGCGAACGTTCGGTGGAAGTCTTTTACACCTGTCGCCCACACCCGGCGTGATTCCTGGAAGCGCTTCCTCGCGAAGGGAATGCTTCGCCTCAGCGGTATCATCTTCATCGCTGCATGCGTACTCGTCGCTATTCCCGGAATCACAAACACTATCGGCATCGTCCTGCTACTATACTCCTTGGTGGTCATGGGCTTATCACCATGGCTGCTACGCCTTCTCTTCCTTGGCAAGTTCTGGGAACAGCAATGCTGGTTCTTTGGCTTCGAAGGTTACATGGACCTTGACACGATCGAGAGCCAGATCTTTGGTGGCAGGCTTGGGCGCATGAAGTGGACCGTATGTATGCTCTCGTCCTGTTAATGACGTCGTGCTAATCTTGTCGTCGCAATTCATAGGCAGCAGCTAGCCCGTTGTCGAGGCATCATCGCAACATTCACGGCGAGTGCGTCCCCGTTGACCCGACTTCCGACCCTGCTGTCGCAGCTCTCGTACAACGAGCGAAGACTGCTGGACCAGGCGAGCAACGCGTCTTTACTCTCGTCGACACCGGCAACATGACTGCAACGCTCTTTCTCGCCGAGCGTCCACCCGTGTGCTTCCTCATGGCTGGCTCTGAAGGCGGTATGAAGCGCATCATCGGCTGTTCTTACGACTGGACCACCGCGACGATGTACAGAGAGACTGTGTTGCGGATCGGGACTCAATTTGAGGATAAGATGCAGCGTGTCGGTCGCGTGAAGATTGGTTTCAAGCGCAAGCAGCATCCTTTTGGGCCGTTCGATCAGGTTGGTGAGGCGGTAGGGAAGGAGATGCAGTGAGATCAGTCTTTCCTATCGTGTTTGTCTTCCGTGTGAGCCTGGTAGCCGCCTGTATTTTGTCATGACTGGAGTAATCGAGGGCGAATACCGTGCTTTGCGGTCTTAAGGTTGTTTGCTTCACTCCGCGTAATTGAGGAATTCTATTGTCGTTTTCATGACCTTTCATCATTCGAAGCTTGTGGGGGATCTAATGCTATGTCGACCTTTCCAGCATTAGAGGTCGTTCACCTGAGGTACAATCTTGATCCATGCGGCGAAGCACGGGAGTGTAGTCGCCTGGACTCTTCCACGACACCAATGCAGTTAGTTTGACCCACACTTTCTCTACTAACGAGTACTTACTCCTTACTAATCCAAGTGTCAAATGGACTTTAGAGGACTTGTTAGTGTTAGACTGAGCCATTAGACGTACATCGAGATCCGTGGACAACCATCCGATCAGACCCTAAGTCCTCGCGACCATGCAGTGGCCATCCATTCTTCTGTTGACAGCCTCCATAGCTATTACACCATTTGCAGCACCTCTCGATGGCCCCACCTCAGATCTCTATGAGAACACAACGGTGGCAGCCGACGCGGAAGTCAACGTGGCTTCCACCAAGTACGTTTGGTCTGGTCTCGGCGACTCATGGGCGGTAAGTACATGAATACGCTATCGCCTCGTCGAAGACATTCGCTGAACCCTGGATAGAGCGGCGTCTCATACGGTTTCTTCGGAACCACCGACTACGACGGAAACATGGACCACTGCCTCCGAATAAATCATGCGTACGCCGCACAGATGAGCCACGATAACTCCTGGATCCCCGAAGGCCGCGAGCAAGAGTTCCACTTCCAGTCCTGCTCAGGCACTCGCTGGCGACAGATCGACGCCCAAGCCGCATCTGGGCCATATCCAGCTGAACGACGTCCCTGACAACGTCAACATGATCGTGTTGCAGGCCGGCGGTAACAATGCGAAGCAACAATGCGAACTTCGCTCGCGTCGCATATGCGTGCATATTCGCGCCGCAAGGAGCAGATTACGGTCCCGAATACCCCGATCCAAACGGTCAATGTGCTAAGGAACTCGAGGCTACGAAGCAGTACATTCTCGGTACAGGCCGCGACCAGCTTTTCCAAGACGCGCGGTGGATCGTCAATCAAGTCTTCGATCATCCCAAGATCAAGAAGAACCCCAAGTTCCGGCTCTTTGTAGTTGGCTACTTCCAGTTCTTCTTCGACGAGGGCGGCGAGGGCGATTGGTGTAGTAATGTGAGCTTTGGTCTGCGGTCTAGTGATCGTCCGAGGCTTAGTCTTGCTTTGCGGAAGCGCATCAATGCGCTTATTCGCTATCTGAACAAGACCATCGAGGACGGGGTGAAGGGCAGCTTTCATCCGGAGCGGGCGACCTTTGTCGATACAGACCAGCATCTGGAGGGTCACCGTTTCTGCCAGCCTGGTCACACGCTGTATGACCAATACTTCGGCGACAATGTCTATTTGTGGAACATGTCCCCGAGCGGTATCTTCAGTTGGCAGGACGAAATGGTGGGAGGTATAGACGATGGCGATGGTAACGCAGAGGAGGGACGCCAGCCAACCCAAGCTGAGTTCGAGCGCTGGCTCGAGACCGGTAGATTTACGGACGACCCTCGCGAGATCGAATTCAACCTGACTGCCGCGCTTCAGTCGGACAACGATGTAGCCGTCGCAGAAGATCCAGACAACCTGCAATGGCTCGATATGATCGGCCCGTATCAGCAGAACTACCCCGGTTTGACACTTCGACCTTTCCACCCCACCAAGAGCGGCTACCGTGCGATGGCCAAGGCGATCATGGCGAAAGTGAAAGAGAAGCTTGAGATCGATTACCCACCCAAACCTACGCCGGCTCCGACCCCATCAAAGCCGAAGGCGACGCATTCGATCCAGATCTTGCTGGCCAGCTACGGTGCTAGCAGGTGGTGGAAGGTCCACCAGGGCCCGCAAGGTGTGCCAGTCAGACTTTGTGTCGACGATGGCCGCTTCAAGAACGCTGTCGATGACGAAGACAAGTTCAAAAAGGACATGTATCAGAACGACGCCAATATCGACGACCCACCTTATGTGAAGGCGGGCAAGACGTGGCCTCTCAAGATCGATGGTAAGGAGGACTGTTACTTCGAGTCTAGCGCCGACGGACCTGGCTTCCTCAAGTGCGGTGAGGACCTGAAGCTGGATTTCGCGGCCGATCCGCAAAAGGGTGATACAACTGTGGCTTGCGGAGCGGTGCAGGGTCGGTTCGATAATGTGAGGCTGCACCGAGCGTGGTATGTTGAGTACTAAGCTGCGCACTTAGTCGGGTGATTGGGCGTTGTTGTGCCACATTCGCTGGACGGCCTCAAAACGCACGAGATCGAGCATGCGCGTTGCAGGCTGCGTTGGTATGTAAGACAGCACTTGACGACACGCTGAGAGAATTTGGAGTTTTGGTTATCTGCCTTTGGTGGGTGTCATATGTTCCCTTGACCAGAGTGAGAGATTGATGTATACCTGGGTAAACAATGGATATATATATAATGTGGTGACGGAAGTTCGTGATGGATGTAATTGAAGAAGCCGCATGCAGATCTAACACGTCGCCAGGCGACGGACGATGCTGGCGATATGCTATGCCGTACATGGCGGGAGCGATTTCAGGATTGATTCTTCGCAGGCTCCAGTTTAGAGGCTGTACGATGTCGCCGGCAGCGCTTTTGGTGACACTGACACTGGGGATGCGATGAGCGACCTCCAGAAGACGCGAGGCATCGCGTGGCAAGTGCGGATCATGATTAGTCAGCAGTGCCATTATTGTCGCGGCATCTTTCCGCACCCCCAGCCGTCTTCCAAACATCTCCATCAACGCGCCCGTCTCAGCATCAATTCGCTTGTCGCTACTTGAATTTCGTGATTGCGCCGTAGATTGCGAAAACTCAACGAGCTACATACGCCCAGGGACTACCCCTTGGTACTACCGCGCGGCCGTATCGCTGCATCCACCGAATTCGCTGGTCGGAGCGCTCATACACAGCAGTGAAGGAACGACAGACCTTTGCATCCAACATTCTATGGCCTGTGTATTCCATCAAATTATTCTTGGGAAAAAGCATGAAGCCCGCTCTGCTTTGGACAGCGGTGCGTGTTAAAGTATTGGAAAGCGTGTCAACCCCGGGTGGCCATGGCTACGCTTGAAGTGCCATAACAGATAACTTGATAGGCACTCATCGCGAATGTTCAACGAAGCTACGAGATCTTTCTTTGCAAGAGCATCAACGCAGCATTCGAGCGCCTTATCTCACAGCAAACACCCGCACACGTTATATCTCATGTTTTGTCCTAGGCTTGATCAACTGATCACAACACCCTCGCGCACTTCAAACAGTCGCGTCGCCTGCATCTATAGATCTCAATTATTACACCAACACGCCTCCGGAATCCACTCCACGTACCATGTCCAACCCCAATGCGTCTCTCGTCTTAGTTCCGAGCCGAACCATTCCTTATGAGCCGTCTTTCATCGTCAAGTTTCTCTCGTGTTTCGCTGTCGTCGCTTTCGTAAAGTGCGTATGGACAGCCCTGCTCCGGTGTCTCCAGAGGATCAGACAAGCCCGTCCTACTAGAGTTCGTCAGCGTGATCGCAGCGCAGTCATGCTCGTCCAAGAAGCTGAGAGGTCTTACAACGAGGCGCACATCGACGATGCGGAGAGATTTGAAGATGCCGAGGACAGCAACGACGAAGATGATGAAGAAGATGAATATGAAGAGCACGGCGAGCAGCCGGAAGAAGTGGAGGTCGAGGAGGGAGCCGCTTACGAAATTCGTTCAACGCAGATCAACATTCACATACACCGGGGTGGAAGCATGTACATCAACATGATGCAGGGTGGAACGTTGCATGTTAATGTTTTCGGGGAGGTGGAAGGCTTGGAGTGGGAATGGCGATAGTGGGGGTAGAATGGGACAGGTGAAGGGGATAGTAAGATAGAAGTGGACGGGAATGATAGTAGAGATGAATGTACTATGATCTGTAACCGCTGGACTACTCTCACGAGTGCCCGCTCTTTACTTAGTTCTAGAAATTACACGGGTGACATGTACATGTGAACAAAGGTCTTGGGCGCTTTAGCCGTTCAAACAACCGCCGTGCAATCAAGCTTCTACCAATGTACTAGGCGATTGTGTTAACTTCGGGAGACTATAACTACGCATCGAGTGCTTTCACTCTGAGGCATAGTACTAAACCACTTGATAGCCTCACAGCGCGAAACAGTAATGAAGTTACAGGCCTTTTCTATATTCGTGCAACAAAGAAACATCTAACACATGTATCTCGCAGCAAACACCTGCGAAGGCTGTATGTTATGGCCAGCCATGCCTCATATGCAACTGCCTATTCTTCATCTAGAACCTCAAGCACATCTCCAAGCCAAATGTCTCGACGCTACAATTTCCGACCGATGTCCACCCAGAACGTGCACCGCCAAACACTCGCTACCCGGACAGAAGCGGAGCTCGAAATGCGATTATTGGGTTGTGTCTGAGTCTGCTGGCTTATATTCGACACTCTCACTTTGGCGTCCTGGGCGCTCAACCCTTTTCTAGACGCAAATCAGAACTCCCCAGGATTGATGGCTCTCATTGCGACGAGCTTGTTCATCCCGATCCTCATCACCATCATTGTGGTGGCAAGAGACCCACCAGGCTATGTGGCGGCTTTGAAAGCTCCGCAAGCTGTCGACGACGACGATGAATATCAACTGGATAGCGACGACGAGGAGAATGATGATCTTGAGTATGATACAGGAGACGACCAAGACACAGACGACAAAGACGCAGAGGAGCAAGATGCACTCAGGATAGGAAGGGGTCGAAGGACCATGGACGCGAAGCGGTGCGTGGTGATGTGTTGAATCTCGCGAGGGGACTGGAGTGGGCATGACACCGATCGAGCATGAACTGAGACCGGGTGGAAGAATGAACGTCAAACGGTGGTGAGGAGCCCAATTTGAGGAAACCTTGTCTGGTTTTGTGTGGTTGTTGGTTTTGTAATGCAAGACCATCCGCTCTTTCGTCGACCATTAGAAGTACATGAATTGCACACGCAAATACACGATATGCTTAGCTGATCTCGCCATTCTGCTAGTCGCCGTGCGCTTGAGCTGCCTTCTTCCATGTCAGCTCGCTTGTCGTTACCCGCACCGCGACTTCCCCACCGTCCTATGCGACAGCAGTCACCTCCGTGGGAACAATACTGAAGTTCCCAGTCGGGCCCAATCCAGTATGCTGAACAGTCTCGTTACCCGTATACGTGTACCTCACTTCACCCCTACCCCATGTCAGCTCCCACTATTCTCAAACCCCCTACCTCCTCCCATATGATATACTCACAGCGTAAACGTGTACTGCACACTAACAGTCGCGCCGACATCACTCCCGCGGTTGAACTCTTGCGTCTGCACATCGCCTGGTACATCAATACCAATCACGCCGCAGGACTTGTAACCACCCTGGAGACTGGTGCCGGAGCAGAACTCTGCATCGAAAGCTGGCTGGCCGGAGGGACCAGCGGGTGCGGAGACGTTGAAGGAGTAGCGGCATGCTGACGCAGAGCAGACACTGCTGAAATCAGTGACGTCCCAGGTCCAGTCTGCGCTTCGAGGAAGGGTTGCTGCGGATGCGCTGGTGGCGAGGAGGATGAGGGCGGTGATCTTGGAGAGCATCTTGAGTATGTGGTATGGCTTAGCCGGATGGGTGTATGAGAAGCTTGTTGGCGTTGTTGATGTTGATTTCTTCTTCAAAGAGACGACAAGGAGGCTTTATAGCTCTGCTCACCGTATATGGGACCATCGTTGCGACACTATAGTTTATGTCGGTCCCGTGATGAAGCACCCGATGCTACGTTGCATAGCCACGGTGCTTCGAGGTATCTGAGGCAACGAATTCGGGTCGAGATCGGTTTCCGTGGTTCATGACGCCACTCGTATGCGCAAGGCTCCGCTGCAAGGGCACGCAAGTCATCGCTGTACCACAGCTACGGCGTTGCGGCATCAATTCTAACGATTGCCGCTTTGGGAGGGTTGATGGTTGTTCCACAGTGCTTACTGATGGTGACAAGCGTGGCAGCGGGTGCCAAGAAAGGAAACATGCAAGGATAGCTCAACTCCAAATTCCCAGTGACGCGTCCGTGGTTCGTATTCAGTCGCCGGAGAGTGCATCAGCATAGCCGACGGTGATGAGTTTGTTCTCGTATCCAGTATTGGCACCTCGCACCGCACCTCATGCAGGCACAGTCAACGTCTCGCCCATGGTACCCCTCTTCTTGCTCACTGGCGATCCCGTATAAACATGGCTATCGGTAACAGATCTCATCATGCCAGGACGTCGTTGTGTACTAGGCAAGTCGAATGGACTGGCATGGCCATGTGTGGATCCAGGTATAACAAATCTAGGTCTACTACCAGGTGTGGCAACTGGGTCCGCGGGTATCTCAAGAGGCGGAGGTTCCGCAAGCGGGTCGGAGAGAAAGAGCGCCAGGAGCTTTTCGACGATGTCTCGCATTCGGTCAGGCGTGGCATGTAGCGGCTTCTCGGACATGTGCTTTCTCTGCAGTATCGTCAGCGAGCGTCTCGGATGTAGGTTCACGCGTCTTACCAGTGCCAGTTGTGCACCCTTGAAGGTTTGGTGGTATATCAGCTTGTACTCGTCGTCTTTCGCCGCCTCTTCAGCGGCTGCTTCTTCACTGCGCTGCTGACTCTCTTCGGCACCAGCCACAGAGGCGCGGCGAGACCTGTTCTGTTTCCGCTGCTGCAAGCCATGCATGCGCATCGCTGCCATGACCACCTTGACCAGTGCGTCCTTGTTTCGCGACTCTGTTGTTGGCTCTTCAGGCTGTATGGGTACCGTAGCGACCTGTGACAGGTTCGATCGCCTGGCATGCGCGTCGGGTTGACCCTTTCGGCTGAGAGGCCTTGTATCGGAGGTTATGCTCGGTGATCGCGAGAGTGGGCGCGAGGAAGGGCGGGCTAGATGGTCGGAAGCAGACGTTGGTCTGGAGTCGGAGAAAGACGAGGCTTTCAGATCGATAGAGAGCGACGACTTTCGGTGGCTGTATGCCTGCTGAGACTCGCTCACGCGGGCTGCTGCTGCCGACACTGCTCTTCCACCTCTCCCTCGTGCCTTCTTGTTTGCAATGGTAGCTTCTTCGAATATATCTCGGGTGCGTCTGGGTGACGTCGGAGGCACATGGAAATCGTGCTGCGGCGGCAGAAATTGAGGCTCGGCATCTGTGGGCAAGTCGATGCTAGTAGCATGCAGAAGATCGGACGAAAGCGGCAGTGCGTGAATTCGAAGCTCGGGGAGTAACTCGGCGTGCGCATTGTCGACGTATGAGGACGAGGATGGTAGTGTGGGTAGCCCAGCTGTGGTAGGAGCGGCGATGGTGCCATAGAAGAGGATCTCAGTCACTCTAGGTTTTCGAGCTTCTCCCCCAGCCAATTGGACTTGTACAAGAAAACCGATTGGCGACTGTGATCGCGCAAGGTCCCACCATTCCTTCGCGGCAGTGTTGGGCGCGTCCGCCAACGTAGGCTTACTCAGCAGGACTGCCTCAAACCAAGCCTGAGTAGCTTCCTCTGTCGTCCATACGTCTAGACTGGGGCCGGCGGCAAGGTATAGTGGTATCTTGGCGGTATCGACCGTGGTGAGGAAGCGCAGAGCCGTCGCGGGGAGGGCTGGAGAAGACGTGACATTTTGCGACGCGAGGCCGACGTCTGTGGGGGGTTAACTACTGTATATTTCCAATGATAGATGATACGTACCTTTGATAACATTGCCGTCGGGTAGCAGAATATTTCCGCTCCAGATATCCGTCATTACGGATGTTCATGCAAGTGTTCGGGTCAAGTAACGCGGGATGCAAGGCAATGACGCGCCCCTCGCGTTAGCCACGCGCGAGGGCACGTGCAAGATGCCAAAACCCACTTTCATCATGACAACTCTTCTCCATCGCAGGTCGCATTCATTGTATATTTACAAAGGTCATAGAATGCTCTCACGTTTCCACATGCCATATCGACAGCATCCCATATCCCGACCGCGCCCCATATTTCAACATCATGCGGCGAGATGCCACCACAGTCACTTCCACCGCTCCATCCACTCACCCCACCACGCCCGTCATAGCACACCCCAGCACCACCATAACAATCGCATACCCCCAATGATTCCACTCTCCCATGCCCGCCTCCTTCCCAACCACCCACCCATCTACGCCCCCGCAAGCACCTGCAGCCACAAGCACCAACCCCGCGCTGCGTCTCGTTCCATACCATGTCGTCGCAAAGATGGCAACGGCTACGAACACGTCTTTGGCGCCGTAGAGAACCATGACGCGCTCCATCATGACCCATTCAGAGGATGTGGTGGGGCTGTTGGTGAAGCCGTAAAGGGAGTAGCCTGTGCCGGGAAAGAACATGTAGGTCAGTCCGAAGGCGAGAAATATTGCGCTGAAGAAGGTGGAGAGGTAGCGGAGGGATGGGTGGTGGGAGAGTGGTGTCATGTTGGGTAGCTTAGTGGATTCGGAGGGTGTGTCGAGGCGGCTCACACGGGAAGAAAGGTAAGAGTGAGTACTGTTCGCGTGCGATCAGAGGGACTGCGACTCTTGATTCCACGTTCTAGTACAGTACATGCTGCTTTCTATATTCGCATCTTGTCTAAAGCGCCGAAACTAAACAACGCGGTTCTCGGGTTCCGAGCGGACCGCATCCCGTAAGCCACAAAACTTGTGCTGTGCAGCCTTCCAACGGCGCCCTTCGATCATGTCTTGTGACATGTTGGAAACTAGTGGAAGGGCGCTGTTCGTTCGCGCATCGCTATCTTGCATGTCTTTCACTCAGCGTTATCTCATTCTCATGGCATCCCTCTAACATTCCTCTCCCATTCCACTCCACCCTCTTCTTCCCTTTCCCCTTCCACCTCCTTCCTCTTCCGCTTCCCAACCTCCCATACCTCTTCCTTCATATGTTCCGACAAACAATCCATCAACTTCATCATCCAATCAGGCTCATCTTCGTGCTCTTCGAAGAGTGCCCACCAATTCTTGATCACGCCCTCCCTGAGCAGACTCTCTAGTTCATCATTTCGTTAGCAAAAGCCGGCTACTTGCTTATTCTAGCTACTCGCTATACACCTACGTTATACTAAAAAGATATTCTAAGTAGCTATAATTATTTGCAAGCGTATATAAATTAATACACTAAATAATCTTACAACAATTAATTTTGTTAGTAGCTGTACAGCCTTATTTCCTCGATTATCTAATGTTTAGCGGGTAGCTCGGAACGCGAACTAGCCCGTCACGCGAACGCCCACTGAAGCCGAAGTAACCGGAACCGTCGGATCATCGATCGCTACTGTAAATAAGCTGTATAGCGATGTTTGCGATGTTGCTAGAGTTAGCAAGGCTACTCGCAAGCCAGTTTCTAGAGTATGCTATCATAACTACCACGTCAGTCTGTATTTCGTGTTTCTCGAGGTGCATGTCCGCGGGATCGACCGTCTCCTCTAGGCGCGGAGGTATCGTCAAAACGCGGACGGAACATGTTGGTGTATCCAATCACGACAACATGCTAAGATGTCTACCTCAGAAGGTATCTCAGCAAGTCGCTCCCACTCCAGCAAACACTAATTGCCAGGATTGACAAGGCCCGGACCGTAACGTCACCATGCTAGTGCGCCCACTTGCACATTGGCCCACCTTCGTTACGTCCGTATCATGGAGCGATTTCCCCACAAGTACTGCTTGGCACACTGACGTTCAAGCCAAAACACTAGTCCCATGTCCTTTTTTTACGTCCGTAATTCGAAGCTTCCGACCAACCGGACCAGTTTCTTCACAACAGCAGGCTCGGCAGCGATATACCGGAACCTTACGCGGACAAGCCAAATTACTCTGGATAACTTTCGATATCAACAGCGAGATAATAGTGCCGAAGAAGTAGTCTGTTGAGCTCTCTTCCATAGTGGCTCGCAGATTGTACGCGTCAATCATGAATCAAGTACAAGCATCATAGCTAGACAGGGTGTCTACTCAGGTATATAGATCCGCTTTCTCCTCTCTCTGCTTGCTACACCAGACTTCCATCTCATCATCTCAAACATACAAATACGCTTCCAAGAGATTCTTCAGATACTATTTGATTCTATTCCAACATCCAAACCTCAGAAAAGATGCCCGGAATCAATGTGACCGAGACGATATTTCCCGACTACCTCATCATTGGTGCAGGCTGCGTGGGCATGAGCTTCGCCGACTACCTGGTCACTGAAACAAAGGCTACACTAGCCATTGTCGACAGTTATGCCCGTCCGGGAGGCCATTGGACACTCGCGTACCCATTCGTCACTCTCCATCAGCCCTCCGAAAGTTATGGCGTTAGCTCTCGAAAGCTCGGTGATGGTAAAATCGATAAAGCTGGCCTGAACAAGGGCTATTTCGAGTTGGCAACGGGTGACGAAATTGTTGGGTATTACAGCAGAGTCATGCATGATACTTTCATCCCATCCGGTCGGGTTTCGTATTACCCACTGCACAAATATATCAGCGACGGAGAGTTCCAATCAATCACCACAGGAAAATGTTTCCGAATCGGACCAAACACGCGCATTGTGGACACGTCGTATTCCAAGGTCACGGTTCCTTCCATGCGTCCACCTCACTACGAAATCTCGGACAAAGTCAACATTACTACGCCCAACGGCTTGACGACAATGAAACGACCTTACGGCGCCTACACCTTAGTCGGAGCCGGCAAGACCGCATTCGACTCCTGCATTTGGATGCTAAATCAGGGCATTGACCCAAAGAATATTCACTGGATCATGCCGCGCGACGCCTGGTTACTGGAACGCGGTTACCTCCAGCCACCAGAGGCTACTCCTAACCCTGAAGAGCAGCTAGCAAAGAAGGGTGAAATCTTCATGGAGTCTACAACGACCCAGGAAATCTTTGAGCGCATGGAGGCAGCTGGGTACGCGGTGCGTATGGATAAGAACGTGCGGCCTACAATGATGAAGATTGCGATTCTCTCAAAGGCGGAGATGGAACTGGCCAGGACCGTAAAGAACATTATACGCCTAGGACATGTTACACGCATTGATGAAGACAAGGTCACTTTGGAGAAGGGCACGTACAAGCCTGTGCCTGACACTCTCTATATCGACTGCAGCGCGTCCGGTTTCCCATACCGGCCCGTTGTTCCCATTTTCAAAGGCAGCACTATTACGGTTCAGAACGTCAAGTTCGGCCAGCCGGCATTCAGCGCCGCTTTACTTGCACTCATTGACACTACGTACGACAGTGATGAAAAGAAGAATTCGCTCTGCGAGCCCGTCCCATTCTGTGGCAAGCCGGAGGATTTTACAGCTACCTTTTTGACTGGCATTAAGAACAGGCTGAAGTGGTTCGAGGAGCCTAAGATTATGGCCTGGACGGAGAAGACTCGTCTCGATTTCCCTATCTTAGGTCCGCCGCCGAGGGATCCTAAAGCTGCTGCTGCTCATAACGCTAGTGTTCCGCAACAGCTTGAGGCTCTTAGCGGTAAGCTAGAGAAAATCGTTAGAAACGACACTGTAGTTGCACCCTACCTCTAAGCGACTGCCTAGATTTCTACTGCGATTTAAAATTAGCGCAGGTTCTACTCTCTATGTATTGCGTTAGCGCAGGTTTTTTCTATTCTTACCTCTCTTTTCTTCTTTACTATAATCTACCTTTTACTCCATTCTTACCTTTTCTACCTTCTCTACTACCTCTCTACCATCTTACTGCGCGCCATAACGCTCTCTACACTGTTTTTTATAATGTTAAAACTTATTATCTACTTTTATAAATACAGTTACTTTGTTGTTGATCCTCTCTCACATGGTTCTGCATGTCTTTTCTTGCGAAAAGTACCAATCAACCTTTTTCAGGCTGACGAATTGATACCTTACGAAGGATCTCGCCAATACTACAACTCTGTTTCCTACCTGGACCCTAATGTCACCGACTACTTTCGCCCTTTTGAAGCTCTCGGAGTCGGACATTGTACTGGTGGGATCGGTGGTCAGCCAAGCGGAACATTTGACGCCATGCGCGCCTGGGTTGAAGAGGGTATTGTGCCTGATTCATTGGTTGGAACGAATGCCAAGAACCAAACAAATCTAACTTGCCCGTACCCGCAGAGGCCTGTTTTCAAGGGCAACGGCACACAGTTTAGTTCAGAGGATTTTCAGTGTCAATATCTAGGCAGAACAGAGTTTTAAATGCTATTGAACATAGTAGTATTATGAAAATTGAGTGTTATAAGCGACAAAAAAGGAGTCCTCCTTGAACCAAGGAATCGGGGCTAAACACGCACCGACAGCCACGTCAGGAAGAGGTAACCAGTGCGAGGCACACTAGGGTCACGTGACGTGCCATCACGCCAAGACAGAGCCATCAGTGATGGCAGAGCCGATATGTGATGGCAAGTCGAACATCTGATGGCAGGAACAGACTGCAATAAGTATGTAAGATGGATGGATTTCATTACCATACTTATTGTGGTTAACTTAAATACTTTATCTCTTACACAGATTGTTAGCTAGTTAATCTATTGTATATAGAATTAGTATTGTTTACCTATTAGTTAATATTAATAACTCTTTTCTACCTAAACCTTCTATACGATACCTCACGGAATACCGCTTCAGTCTCCCTCGCCTTAGTACGGACTGAGCCTAGAGAAGCATAGCCGAGTCGTTAAGCTTGTTGTAGTATCCGTCAACTTTGCGCCACGCCGCGCGCAAGTTAATAGCAAGATAATCTTCGAGAGCCTCCGCGTGAGCGTTAAAGTCGACGAGACTATATGGGTGAGCACGCGTTTCGAGTGAGCTAAGGACATATTCCATCACAGATATGACCTCATATACTGCACCAAACTTGCCAGTTTTGCCACGCCCTTCAAGACGCTAAGTTGCAAACCTTTTCGGCTCTAAATAGACCTGGTACTCGACGATTATAGCCCAATCAGCAGCTGTCAGCCCATTTAATCTCATCCAGTCAGGCGCTTCGGGCGGCTTGTTGTAGTGATGCTCGGCGTATAGATTGTACGCGGCTTGAAGCTTTGTAGCGCGTTCAAAAGCCGAATAGTATGAGTTCCAACGCGTAACCACTGGCTTCACCAGCACAAGCATCTGAAGCCTCTCATCACTTGACAGCTTGGCGTTGGCCTCCCCTTGTTTCTGGCAGAAAAGATCGTACTGTTGCGGTGTTTTGATGTAGTTGATTATATCAATCAGTACATCCAATGGATCATGCTGACGCTATTGCTGCATGTAGTCTTCCTCAGTACTATAGTGCTCTTGAGCGTTTTGATAGGCGTCTTTATCAGCCCCACGTATAACTTTCTGGCCGATGAGGTTGAGGGTGTGACAGGTACAACGAAGGCGTCGGTGTGTTGGCTCGAAGGCGTAGTCGCTAGCGATTGCGGTGATCGCGGTATCGTTGTTGGCGGCGTTGTCAAGCACAAAGTAGCTCAACTTATTGTGAGTTATATCGTATGCTTTGAGCGTTTGAACGATGGCTTAAGCGGTATCTTCGCCTATATGAGCGCTTGCGAGCTGAGGTAGGTCGAAGGGTAAGTCATGAATTGCTCCATCCACGTCAGTAAAGTGAACGATGACACCAAAGAAGCCACGTTTGCCGCCCTTTGTTGTCCAGCCGTCAAAGCTTACATGTATCTTACTGATAGCTGACGGCAGCATGTTGATAACTTGAGGCTCTAGGTGCTTGTAGAGCATCATGACGAATGTGGCAACGCTTGTTTTACTCACCCATAACGCTGCCTCACCCTCTGGATTGAGACAATTTACAAGCTCTCGAAAACGCGGCGTCTCGATTTCGCGCAGTGGGTGATTATTTTCGACAAGCCAAAGTACAACAAGTTGCCGAAATCATTGTACGTTGAAGCGATACCGAGTACAACCTTCATTGCTTTCGAAGCATGTTCACTAAGAGGGCGTAGCAGTAGCTCGCTAAGATGATGGATTTGATGATTATGGCATATAGCAGCATGGCAGAATGTGGTATGTAGTGCGTGGTACTGATGAGTCTGTGGCGATCGTGCTGATATAGTTGTACTTGAGTTGTTCGAGCTTGCTGTTTGCTTTGACCAAGTAGACGAGGTGCAAAGAAATCACAAGTGGCTTCACTCCTTTCGAAAGTAGTCCTGGTGATTTATTTGCTGCGAATTACGGAAAACGTAACGATGACAAAGAGCTACGTTGAACTAGCAGCGAACTGATAGAGTGCAGACAGTCAATAATTTTTGAACTATCGATCATGTCGGACACAGCAGCTAGTATCGCATATGTTATTATCTTTCCGTGAGAGGCGTTCGTTTTCTCCATACACTGCCGACTTCGCGCTAGTTAAGGTAGCACTCTACTTTTCTGCATTCCTCATACAACGTCTGAATGAGCAGAATTGGTGCACAGAATGATATAGTTCCTCTAAAAGAGCATAGTTTCTTTACCTTATCTATCTCCTCGCCTTTACAATGTCCTTGCTTGCCCGGTCAGCCCGTATCGCCTTATCCCCGCATCTCCCCGTCATTCAATTCGCCATCTACTTCTTCTCGTCCTTCTCTGCCTTCTCCCCATTCTCGTCCTTCCTATCCTCCTCGCCACCCGTCAAAGCCGCTTCCTTCATCTCCCCAAACATGCCATCTATCTTCATTCCAATATCCCACGGAACATCGTGACAGTGAGCCTAGCAATGGGCGCGGCAATTACCACGAAACCATCTCAGCCCGCTTTTATCCGTCTCACATTTGCTTATTTCAGCTCTCAAAGCGGTGACTCCTTCCATTGGCCGGTTCTCTAACTTGCTTTCCAGTACGGCATTCTGTTGTGTCGCGTTATGAAGATCGTTTTTGCTTGTATGGAGGGCGAGGCTGCATGCCTGGAACTTTTGACTGGTGGTATAGAGTTGGTAGGTTGCGAACAGGGAAAGTATGGATGTGCATATGAATGTGAACCTAGCGAATTCCGGAGAGAGTATGATGACTAAGGGGTAGATAATGATTGAGAAGATGGTGAAGGGGATGGAAAGGTATGCGAGAACAAGTAGTCCGGTGAGAGCGTATGATGACGTGATGCAGCGTAATCTGCGTTGTGCGATATGGATCTCCGTGAGCAACAGGTGTTGATATATCTATAACCGGTGAGCTTGAGTTTGCCGTGTACTTCCATCAAGCCAAAGAGATCAAAGAGCGCAACTTATCACTCAAAGCGCAAAGTAGCTCCCCAAAAAACAAAGTTCATGAGTGAAATATGTTTCGTTGTTCATGTCAAGGATCAAACCGCAAAACAGAAGATGGACTCAATGCCAGAACATGCTGTTCTAATTTCAACTTTGCCTGGAACCATCACGCGGACAAAGGTCTAGCAAACCCATCGCTCTCCCATCGCGTCCATAAAACTCGTTTAACGCGCACGCGTTCTCCCCCATCGACTATCACCACCGACAACCACTTACAAGCTACCCAGCCACCGCAGTGAACTGGTCCAGTAACCTTTCTCTTATCCATTGCCACGCAGTCGATCAAGAAAGCAATGCAATCCACACCTCTCTACCGCATCATCCTCCGATGCATCGCCCTCCTCTGTCAGACCTTCTTCCTCCTCAAGTTCATTTATTTCTACTTCAAGAACGCAGAGTTTAATTTGAATTCGTTCCTTGTCTTCGCTATATTCGCTCTCACCATCTACGCCCTAGTTAGTGACATGTTGGAGGTTGAGGAACTGCATGGTCAGCTTCTTGATCTTTTGGACACATTCAGAGAAGTGACGGCGGAGTGAGATGAGGGATGAGATCAGGGGTAGTGTGCGGGGATTACGGGAAGAGGTACACGTGCGCGGAGACGAGACACATGGTCGTGGTGGAGTTAAGACAAACTTGACCTTTTGTAGTAAGAAAGATTCTTTTCTTCCACCATTAAACCTCCCTATTTCCTGTAAACCAACACCCTTAAGATAGCTCTTCCAATCTTTCCTCCTATTCTCTCTGCCTATTCGTCTCTCTACACCCCTTCCTGCACATTTGCAACCCCTCTCCCTTCCAGCCATCCAGTTCACCCCCAAACATGCTTATGCTACATCCACTTTCCCAATATGCCCTCCATATCAAGCCTCTCCTGCATCTCCGTCACCATCACCATATTGCTACCGACGACATACAGGAGAAAGATGATACCAACATTAGCCGCAACGACTTTGACAGCGAACCTGCGCTTCCTAGCAGTGTTGAGGTACTTGTAGAAGATCTTGCGGAAGATCAAGGCGAGGAGGATGGTTGCAATGAGTGAGGGCAGTTGTTGGAGAATGTGGTAGTGATAAGATGGCATTTCGTACCCGTCTTGGTTGATGTTGAGAGGAGTGTTTTCGGGGATGTGTGTTGATCTTCAAAGCTGCGTTGATTGGATGTGCAGGATGAAGACATCTGGTCGGGGGCTTGCTTTTGTAGTTGTCATCTTGTCAGTATCGCTTGCTCACGGTGAGGTAAAACATTGTTTGAGATTGTCTCGACATGTCGCAAGACCGGACGGCCATGTCTGGGTGGAAAAGCGGGAAGAAGTAAGACACGCTGAGCACCGATGTATACGGTGAGATGGCTTGTTTCCATAGCATTATTCCGCAGTACAGATCGATAGCGTCGTGTCATCGCCGCACCTTGCCGTCTTCCCTGTCATTCCATCCCCATCTCTCCCTCACTCAACCCATCAACACCGTCACCATCCCAACACCGTCACCATTCCAAAACCAACACCAACCACCCCGTACCAGCCCTTACTGACTCTTGCACCCGCGCCCGTCGTCGTTGAAGCCGGAACCTCAGTCGCATCAGTTGCTTCGGACGCATCAGTCGACGCCGTCAGCTCCGCGCTGGTAGTCGATGTTGTCAATTCCACACCACTCGACTCCGCATTCGAACCAGCACTCTGCGCAGCACTCTCGAACAACGTGCTAGTTGGCGTAGTAGCACCACTCGCGGCACCGATCTGCGTCTCAGACACCGTGACCTGCGTTGACGTCGACGTCGTGGTAGCAAAACCCGTGCTGACCACCAGCGTTAATGTTGAATTGATAGCGTAAGCAACAGAGCAAAGCGCCTGATTATTCTCGTCTGTCATGCAGATTTCGTCGCCGGTACAGCAGAGTTGGGCAGCGTAACCGCATGCTGTGCCACCGTCGGGGCATCCTTGGGCTGATGCAACGCTGAGATAAGTGAGGAGGAGAGGGATTGGGATGGTGGAGCGCATGGTCGGTTGGTGCTGGAAGAGGGGATTTGGATGAGAGGTTGGTGATGGGTGAAGAGCTGGAGAGCTGGAAAGACATGCGGGAAGGGCCGTTTTGTTGTCGTGTTAATCTCGCGTCTCAGCCACAGTACGCGGTTCGCGTCAGCCACGGCTGGGTGGACGCCTTATCGTGGGACTGCATGCGAGAATAGCAGGGTGAAGGTAAACTGGATGATAGAGGAAGCGCTAGAGGTAGAAACGGCATTAAGCCTGATAATATTATGATTAAAGTCTATTCGCCAGTACCACCACAACTACCTCTAATGCACCACCACCACCACCACCACCATCTCACGCCAACGCCTCCTCCTTCCTCTGCGCCTTCCTCTCCTCAATCCCCTCCCTCCACTCCCTTCCCTTCACAGCAGTCAACCACGTCGCGCCCGCTCCAGCAACAAGGAACCCCGCGCTGATCGTCGAGAACCAGCCCACCCCAATAGCCCTCACCGCAGGAAGACAAACCGCCGACCCACCCGCAGCAAACATATACCGCATAAAATAATTCCCAGCCACAACCTCCGCACTCCTCCCCTGCATAACATCAAGACAATACGTATTCAGACTCGGAAAACAAAACAGTTGAGCCACACCTTGAAGAAACATCATTACAACAGGCAGCGCGATGCCGCCAACCCTTTTCTCGACGCTCCACCCGTAGATCAGCATGCAGGCGGGAATGACGACCCCGAGGAAGAAGACGCAGGAGCGGAGGCGGTCTTCGGAGACGCGGTGGCCGCGGAGGCGGATGTATTTTTTGACAATGTGGTCAGCGTAGCGGCCGCCGAAGAAGGTGCCCAGGAGGTAGCCGCAGCCGGGGGCGATGTAGAAGAGGCCGGATTGGAGGGGGCTCTGGAGATCGAACCGTGGGTTTAGTACGTAGCGAATCGGCGTTAACAGACTATACATGTTCCACACGAGACTACTACTCGCCAGCGCCGTTAAGAGGATATTAGGGTACCGGTACAGCTTCACCACACGGAAAGGGTTGAGCCACTGCCACATTTTGTGGGCGCGTTGTGCAGTGGGGAGGCCGACGAGTTCGTCGGCGCGCTTCTTGTGGATGGTTTCGGGTTGCAGAAAGAAGCAGAAGAGGGTTGCGGCGCCGGCGAGGGCGGTTTGCAGCCAGAAGATGTCGCGCCAGGAACGGAATGTTACGATTATGCCGCCGATGAAGGGGCCGAGGGCGGGGCCGATGAGGGTGCCGCTGAGGAACCAGCCTAGGGCTGTTGCGCGCTCGGTCTGTGGGGGGTGTTAGTTATATGCAGGATGGTCGTTGAGGGCATGTGGAGATGGGGGTGTGTGAGAGCTGTGATGGGCTCTCATGGCATACACCGCTCTCAAACTTGATCCGAAAGCAATTACCAACATTGAAAAAGGGTATACATACCGGTTTATACACATCCCCAATAACCGCACTCCCAATCACCAAAAACGCCGTCCCCTGAAACGCAGTCAAAATCCTAAACACAAAAAAACTCGCCAAATTCGGCGCCAACGCCGTCCCAATCGAAAACGCAGTAAACAACCCAGCGCTCACAACACTAACCCACTTCCTGCCATAGATATTCCCATACGGACCATAAAAGCACGGCGACAAGCCCATGAAAAGCATATACAAAGCATTGGACACATTAATAATACTGCCATCCGTATCAAACGTCTGCGCTACTTCAGGAACAGCAGACAACACCGTCGTACTCGATATCGGGGCTAGGAAACTGCAAAAAGAGACTACGGCTACGATGACCATTTTGCGGCGCTCGGTGAATTTGTTGTAGATGACGTCGTTATCGCCGGTGGCGATGTATTGGACGTTGGCCATGTCGTGGTGGCTGACGGAGGAGACTGTGCGTTGGAGTTGCAGACGGTCTTGGTCGGTTTCATTGCTGCGTGGGTGGGGGATGATGGAGGCGTATTCGGTGGTCTTTTCAGGTTCGGCAAAGGGAGAGTTGGTGGGTGCGTGTTGGCCAGCGGGTGCTGAGGAGGATGTGGAAGAGGGTGCCATTTTGTGTACTCATAGAAGGCGAGATTGTAGAATATCAGTCAATGTGGGTTGAAGAGTCTGGAAGGGACTCGTGCTGCTGGTTAGAGTGTTTGCAGCGACATTCGAGTTGTTGGACAATGGAGAGGAGAGAAAGCAAGTGACGAGAGACGTTAGATATGTTCACGATTAGAGTACATGTTGGGCTATCTTGGTGCATTAGCGCTCCTGCAACGGCTTCATATCCGCGGGTGGAGACTGTCGCTGCCCAAGGAGCGTCTTTTCCGTGAAGATTTTCGCCTACATCGTGTCGAGAGGTTATATCCGGTGAGTGGAGTAGCCGACATGGGTGTCGGGCTAAGAATGTCCGGTCGGAAACTTTGCCGCCGTCCATGGAAATGCTCCGAAGTATGCTGCATGCGCGTACCAAGTATCTTCTCGAAGATGTCGATGCACGACTAGAGTAGTTGTAAGATAGTGCACGCCTTATGAGTGCTAGCCAATACTGACCTCGGCACATGACTCCTTGGCACACCAGACTTTCACATGCATGATGCAGACGACCACGTCGAGTGAGCTCAGGCGAAGAGCCCGCAAATATATACGTGTATTCGTAAGCCATGCGACAGGCCAAATTTGTACGGTGAAAGATTCTAGATAACCCAAACGTGGATCTTGCGGTGAGATCTCGTGTCCTGAACGCCGATGATGCAGTTGCGCTTTTCAAGCAAAGTAACCCTCTCCCAGCTCATATGCTGAGCTTGTCTAGACTCAGGCGGTCGGCACTTCTGTGTCGCTTGACCATGCCCAGCTTGTAGAACTTCTCCTCGCCCGTCGCTGTTCGTCCGCCAATGTACCACTTCTCGGCGCCCATGGCTTCGTGGAAGCCTTCGGATGAGCTGTCGGAGCCCCGTCTGCCTCGACGCGACGCGCCTGGTATTGGGAAGGCTTGGGCTTTGGGTGATGTGGAGCGGTTGTAGGGGGCGGTGTGTTGTCGGGTGGGTTGGAAGTGGCTAGTCGCCTGGACGGACACGGTTGTCGCACTAGGCGATGGGGAGCGCGTCTTTGTGGTGATGGTCCGTGACGACGCGGCTGTTGTGTCGACGGTGTTGTTTTGTTGTGAGGTGGTGTTTTGGGAGTACGAGGCCACAGACGCTGCTTGCGAGGCCGTGGTCTTCTGGAGGCTGGGCTGTTGCGCGCGGAAGGCGGCGAGGAAGCCACCGAAGAAGGGGCGGTTGGTGGTCATGGTGGTGGTGGAGGGTGTCTGATCTGGTGAGGGTCGCTGGTGGCTCTGGGGCATAAGATGGCGTCTATAAACGTCGAATACTAGCGGCGGTGTAGAGGTGTGTGTTGTGTTGGCGGCTCCGCAACGGCGTTTCGTGCAGCGACCGAATAACAACAGCACAGGCGGCGCTCCGACTGCGCCGTCAAGCTCGGGCACTGCGACGTTTTCTATTCCATGCGCTGATCCAAGGGGGAGCCGCGGAACAGGGGCGGGTCGTGAGTGATGGTTGGTGATGGTTGGCGATTATCGGCGCAAATGTGCGTGTGACGTAGGCGAGCTGCAGCTGGGGTGGGCGTCTACGCGTCTATATGTGAGGGTATGCGGTGCCGTTGATGTCAGCGGGGTAGGCGGCGACTGTGTTTATAGGAGACTGGGGGAGATGGCGGGGGGGAGGAGGTTTGGCAGGTTTGGCGCATCGGACCGTTGCTGGAGAGGAACATGTCGGAACCCGCGACGCACCTGACAAGATCAAAGTGCGCCTCCCGAGCCTTGACCGAGGCCATCCCCAGTATCTACCCTACTAACAACCACCATTCCAAGAAAGCGGAGCCATCGCTTCACCCACGATGCGCTGTTTGGCCTGTTACTCTGGGTCTCGCTTCGCCATGGCGTGCAGCTCTGACAGATCCACGGCCGCTGAATGGCCGCCCACATCGCAACGGCCACCTACGCCGCCAACCACGCACATCTCCAGAACTCGTTCGCATGCCGTTATCCCGCTTGGCCTTATCGAGGCAAATCATCGTGCACCATCAAGTAACGCCCAGTAGTGGTCCGCCATGCTCGATATGCGATCGCGATGCCCTGCTGTGTCGCCGGCTATTACCTGCCGCATTCTCTTAGAGGTATGATAGCCCGGAACACCCACGAGGAACATGCGCTTTGCAACACCGCGCATCTCATACGACGCACGACGGTTGAGCTAACCCTCGTCATGTCTATCCATACCCCCCAAAACGCGGGGTAGTCCGAGAAATAGCCCGTCTTCCCCAGATCTGGATATCACATAAAGAGTGACACGGCATTCTTCATGGCGCCGGTGCTCACACCTTCGTTGACATGTGCGAACGCATATGATCGGCATAGCACTATCACGTGCTGTAGAGCCGCTTGTGACGTAGCCATGTGTAGACTCTCTCGGATCACAACCGGCAGATAGGTCGAGCATAGCGGCACATCGCTGCACGACAGATATTCATCAGCCTCTCAGAACCATCTCGCTGTACACGAGCGTCATGGCAATCCAACTGCCATGTGCTCCTAAGGCAACCAATCACCTGGGCAGCCCCGTCAGCCTTGTGCACGGGCCTCATCTCCCCTCTATCAGGCAACCCTTTGCGTGGCGCAACTGTCACCAACACCCTCCTCCTACTGACTTCTTGCGACTGCTTTCTTTGAATCTTGTGTAGTTATTCCAAGCCTTCAGTCATCGTGCGACATCTCCCCACTACATCGCTATTGTTATGGCGACCTTCTCCCTCCTCCCCACCGAGCTTGTGGAGTACATCGTATCCTATCTCGCTCAACACGACATTTACGCTGTTTGTCGAATCAACAAGAGCCTTTCAAATCTAGCCATACCATTCCTGTACCGCCATGTTGATCTCTTTATACCACCTGGCAACAAACTCCCCAGGATCGATCGTTTCTGCCTAAACATCATCAGCGACAGCCGCAAAGCCAACAATGTCGAGTCAGTCCGCCTGGGACTATCTCCAAGCGAAGATGTCAAACAAGGTCAGCGGTGGCTGGCACCGGACAAGACTTTTGACGACAAGCAGATGTTTCGGAAAGCCATGGTCGCGTTGAGTGATGAAACGTTGGTGGCTGCCGGGGACTATCTGAGAGACGCCATCTACATGCGCGAGTACTCTGCCTATGCAGCGCTTGCCCTTCTCGTCCTTCCCAAACTCCGTCGACTCGACGTAGCAGACTACAAGCAGGCCACCTTCGACCACCTCCACAATGTTCTCCGCAATCTCGACCCCGGAACTCTTTGGAACCGGCGCTATCCATCGCAAGTTCTTCTTGATCGCCTCTCATCCATCAAAGAGGTATCTCTCATGGTTGACCGCAAGACTGGGGTTTGGTATCCAGGAGACAACAATCGCAATCCAATCGGCCACTTTCTGAATATCCCGGGCATTGAGAAACTGGAACTTTTCAATCTCGGCGGGCAGTCGCATGCACATGGTGTGGCTATATCACACTCACTGATAGCCTTTCCGACAGCTACTAACATCACTACGTTGGTCTTCCGACACTCGGGTGCCTTTAACCGGGGCCTGAAGTCGTTGTTCCAATGCACGCCAAAGCTACGTTCTCTTACGTACGACTCCTACTTCAACGCCCAGGCACAGACTACCCAGCGAGGAGATCTGCTCATGGTCGACGCTTGGAACGAGCACCTCAGGCCCCTGCAATCCACCCTGGAAGTCCTGGTCCTCTGTGCAGAATACTCCGACCCAGACGCCTTCTTCTTCGCCCAACCCCGTATCGGCGATAGACTATGCGGCTTCCTTGATCTCACCGACTTCACCGAACTACACACCCTTGAGGTTCCCTTTCCCTTCCTCACTGGCGACGTCGACTTCTCCATCAACAAGGACATCTACCCTCTCTTCCCGCCAAACCTCCGCCACCTCACGCTACGCCCCGATCTCTCGCATGCCCAACTCCCCTTTCCCTTCGACTCATCCATTCTACCCAACGGTCTTACATTTGAAGAGTCAAAACAGGAAGCGCAGTATCTCATGAACGCCCGCATGGACGTATCCTACATGTTCCAAGCCTCCCTCTCCCTCCTCGACTTCTGGCCAACTCTGGAATCCATGTCTGTCTGGCAGCCCGCGGATCCGTCACTCGAGTGGTTCGACGGTCAAATCGAAGACTTTGCGACGACTTGTCGGAATAAGAATATCACGGGGAGGCTGCTGAAGCCGATGTTGCTGAGATGGAAGAAGGCGGAGCATTGGGATTTGATGAAGGAGACGACGCTTTATGATCGCAGTGATCCGGATTTGGGTGTTGTGGATAGGTTTTGGAGGGAGGAGTGGGAGGGGAGGCCGTTGGGGATGGGGAGTCAGTATCATTTGAATGCGCTGGCGAAGGGGAAGGTAAAGCTGCGGAGGTAGGAGTCTGCTGGGTTCTCCGAGACATGCGCTTGATGCGCCTTTCTCGCAATTTCTGCCGCCATGCAAAAACAACTTTCTTGGGCATTCTAATACAGTCTAAAACAAGCGCCCACACCACTTCAATTCCTCTCACGCAAACTTTCGCCACATAAACCCTCTCACCCCAACGTACCCAAACCCACTACCCATCTCCCAACCGCCACCACCACCACCATTACCAAGCCAAACAACCATGGCAACCAACTATTATTACCCCTCCCAATTTACCACACCCCCATATCTCTCCTTGCTCATCCTCGCCATCTACATCCTAGCCTTTCTTCGGCATTTCAGGGTGTTCATCAGCCACTGCTGGCATGGACGTGTGGATACTACATCGGTCGTAAACTTCCTGCTGTACGGTGCTTGGACGTATGTTGTTGCGAAGGGGATTTGGGATGTTGCGTGGTTGCGGAGGGATTTGGAGATGTGCTTGAGGCCGCCGCTGAGGAAGCCGATGGAGATGGCTTGGATGAGGGATGAGGAGTAGGTGGGGGAAGGGGCATGTAGGATGAGAATGAGGATGAGGAAGTGGGAAGGCAGGGTTGATGTGTGGGTTGGCTTGGGTGCGTTGATGACGAGGGGACTTTGTGCATGGAAAGGTAGGAGAGGGTCGGATTAGACTGTAGAGAGAGAATGTATCTAAGAGCATGATAAATGTGCTCATGATAGCACGATGTGGTATGTGACTCTAAGCTCATCATGGTATATCGAATGCATGCTTGTACGCCAGTCTCCAGGATGCTTGCTCTGATCCCCATCACTAGTCGGTCACAGCGAGCGCCATTGCAACATCAGCACTTCTTTCCAATTCAGCTTAATACATTTGAAAGCATTCCAAAGCTAGCTACCTGCGAACTAGCGTCATGTTCTCATCCAAGAACAACATCCATCCCCATGCACGCGATTCTTTCCCCGCTCAAGAGGAGCAAGAGGCTTGAATAGCATAGCGGAAGTTAATAGGCAGGGCAATCACAAGTCAGAGCGGCATCCCGCCTTTCAACAAAATCTTCTCTGAACTCAGGTTTACATCGTGCCATTACCATGCAACACCTATATACACATATCCTTCACTCCGCCACCAATCTCCCCAGTCCACAGCTCCTCTAGCAAGATGTCTTGCCCCCACTGACACTGCACGCAGCACCACCCTTGCATACCTATTCATCCATCATCAGCATACCACTCACACTAGTACGTTAACGTAATGGAGGCGCGTAAACTTACGTTCTTGCACGCATACCATGTTTTGCCATCGGCGCAGCATCCTGTCTTGGATGGGCAGTATCCCCACTGGTTGTTAGGGTCGCTGCCTTCGGCTAGTTGGGCGTGGTTGGTGGTGAAGTGTTCGTCATGGTCGAAACATTGCTGTGGGTTGGGGGCGTTAGTTGGGGAGATGGAGATGCTTTTCGTGAGCGAAGAGGATGCGGGTTCGACGGGGGGATGATTAGGTACTTACCCATGCGGAGACGGAGGCTGTAGCCGTGAAGAGGAGAATGAGGGCGGAGATCTGCATGATGATCTTGAGGTGTGTGAGAGGATTGGATGTTGAGGTTTTGGAGATGTTCAGGCGGCAGGTGGCGCTGGAAATTGAGAAGACGCGCTCTTCTTATCAACGCCGAACGAGTCAATATTAGCCACGTCTGCCTCCTACTGATCGCCTTTAGCCCTCATGTAAATGAAAAGATCAGGTAGCGAGTCCAGATCATCACCAGACGAACGCGAACACGAAAAGATGCTCAGGTCCGTGTTGTGTCTGCGGAATTGAACGTCGGGCCGGACCCCTGTTTTGAACCAAACCTCCGCATGTTTGACGACAGCGAGGAAACGAAACAAGCTCATCATTTCTCCACACTTGGCATCGCTGCGAAAGCTTTTCTTTCTGACTCTTGATGGTGTTGACTCTGTTTTCGCGTACATCGTTGATGCGATGCCAATATCTTCCCATACACATCCTTTGCGTCTCTGCGCCGGTACTTCACCGCTGTTCTGCACGCTTTGCGCTCCGCTCCATCAACCATCTTTCCTTCCGCGCAATATAAGACCCCGGAGCTTCACCCAATGGCAATCGAATGACATCTCGACAAATCGCTGCAAGCGGGATAGTCTAGGCTGCACACAGTAGGTACGGCGTAATGCGCGGTTCAGCTCGTCGCGTGGTTCGGCGTTATGCGTGGTGCCGGCGCAATGCACGGAGCACTAATTTCACGACGTGTGTATCTGCATGAGGTGGGATTCCACCAGTTGGAGTGTCACCTGGAACTGCGATCGCAGAGAATTCGTGGTCGAGTTGGTCGCGAGGTGAATGTAGCACCGCAAACGTGGGAGAAACTGGGCGGGGCGATAGGTACGCTGCAGTCTATGTTGGTGTGAAATTGAAAAGTTGACACAACATTGACGGAATGGATGCTTCTAGGTGCTAACCCTCCAGTAGTACCTTTCGCATTTCCAGCTCATACTATGCCAGCTGTTCAATAACACCGCCTTCCAGAACTTCGACACCACTCGTTTCGACATGAGCGTCCTGATATTTCAACAAGATGTCTCTCGCCTGTTTCAAACACCTAGAATTCCTGCCAAAGACAACACGCTCTCTCCTGACAGCTTCAAGAGCATATTTCAGAGCAGTGTAACCATGTATGTCTTCGTCACCAGGGTGGATGCCGACAACGTCAACAAGGAAGTCGGACGACTCTTCAGTAAGGCTGCCCTTCAAAGCCCCATAGTGTAGTACTGTCCTTCCATAATCGTCCTTTCTTGCCAGTACGACACCGTGCACATGCATGATTTGCAGCATACATAATCCAAGTCCCCAACTTATAGCGCACAGGTGCCCAAGGGTCTGCCCATCTGGGCTGACAAATGAAGCGTTACCTTTAATCTTCAGGAGTGTTTTGAAGATCTGTACGCAAACCGTAGGGGAACTTTCGATGTATGTTGCCAGTGGGGACATGCCACAATTATCAAACTCGGAGCCGTTCGCTCCCTGGTCGAGTAGCCGCTCTAACGTCCTTAATTGTACGTCCGGTGCTGCTGTTCTCGTAGATAACATGTGGTGAAGCACGTTTTGCCCGTTTATATCTTTCGACAATATCAATGTGACTGCCCTAGCCTGTTCGTCTCCAAGAATGACCATTAAAATTTCGTGGGTCCTGATTTGCATTGAGATCCCCGGGCTTCTGATTTGAGCAGCGCAGTGGAGCGCGTTGAGGCCCTCCTCGTCGGTCCACGATACGCTCGCACCCACGCTGAGCAAAATTTTGACCGATTCGTAATCGCCGGCGTGGATGGAAAGATGCAATGGGATCTGCTGGCTTAGATTGACAACCGATGGGTTTGCTCCTTTTGATATCAGTCTTTTCACCAGGATCGCGGTTCCCGGATCGCCATAGCGAACACAGTGTAGATGGCTTCCACCTTCATCGTCAATCGCTGTGGCCGAAATCCTATGATCTGCTAGTAGTGCATCTAGTACTTCCTCAGGCGCAGAAACTATCCAAGGAGTAGCTTCCTCCCAAGCATCTTCGCATCTTGTTCCAATCATCGTTTTACGCAGTGCAAGATTTAGAGGCGTTTCACCGTGCTCAGAAAGAGCATTAGGGTCGGCGCCGTGCTCAAGCAGGAACCTTGTCATCTTAGCATTCCCTTTCAAAGCAGCGAAATGTAGAGGAGTTAGTCCAATTGCGACAGATGCCGAAACGACGAACGTAGTATCCGGTTGATCAAAGCAAGTTTGGCCGACTCTGCTGGACCGTGCCTGCCGACGAACTCTGGAGTCAACCCGCACTCCTTCATTCAAGAGGTACAGTGCAATAGCCTCCTGCTCCCACTCTACACAACAATGGAGGGGAGTCATGTTTTCGTCATCGACAGTGTCTAATGGAGCGCCACATCGCTGCAACAACGTTACCATCGACAGTTCGCACTGCTGTTGGTTAATAACCTGATGCAGGCCAGCATTTGCACCTCTACTAATCAAGAAAGTGGCCGTTGTCTCTTGCGCGCATCTGGCCGCTACATAAAGCGCACTCCTTCCTGTTCCACCCTCAGCATCAATATCGGCGCCCGCATCAAGCAGCAACTTGACCACTGCGGTGTGGCCGCCGGCTGAAGCTATTTGTAGTGCATTCAGGCTCTGATGACCACCAATTAATGCCAGGCGATCGCAATACGTCCCAGCTTCGTCGCGAAATTCGTTGGCACTAGGAGCGTCCACATCTGCGCCCGCCTCTATCAGCAGCCTTACCATTGCCTCATTGCCTGAGTGTGAAGCTATTTGTAGTGCACTGCCGTGCTCACTGTCTCGCGCGTTGGCGTCGGCGCCAGCATCAATCAGTAGCTTGACTACTCTTAGCTTCTCCACTTCTCCCTCCCATTTACTTAACGCCAGTGTGAGTGCACTGCTGTGTTGATTGTCTCGCCAGTTGACGTCGGCGCCAGCATCAATCAGTAGCTTGACTACTGCTTCGAACTCACGTAATGACCGTAGTGAGCTGCGGTGTTCACTGTCTCGCTCGTTGGCGTCGGCGATATCATCAATCCATAGCTTTTTCCTTTCCTCTGTGTTCCACCGACGTAACGCTAGTATGAGTGCACTGCCGTCTTTACTGTTTCGCGTGTTGACGTCGGCGCCAGCATCAATCAGTAGCTTGACTACTGCCTCGTTGGTTCGAGGAAATAGTGCCCACATGAGTGCATCGAGGCCTTTTTCATCCCGGGCGTTGATGTCTGCATTCGCATCTAAGAGCTTCTTGACCAGTACCTCGTCGTTTCTCCACGAAGCAATTTGTATTGGATATCCATCATCCCCTAGCGTGTTGACGTCGGCGCCTGCATCGATTAATACGTTGACCATCTCCACGTCGGCCCATTCGAAAGCCTGATTCAGTACACTTTCGTGACCAAGGTTGACGTCGGCTTTCGCGTTGATTAGCAGTTCAACCACTGCCATGTGTCCTTGCGACACGGCTGTAAATAGCGCGCTACCGTATGGTCCAGGTTGCGCGTTAACATCGACGTCTTGATCCAAAAGCAGTTTCGTGACCGTTTCCAAGCCCAGGAACGATGCGTAGTGAAGAGATGTTGTCATCTCTTTTGAATCATCTTGGTCTTCGTATGGCTCCTCTAAAATGAGATCACCCTCATATGGATCGTAAATTCGAATCGAGTTGGCAAGTACGTGCTTGTCCGTTAGTAACAGACTTATGACTAGTCGACTCATTTCTTCATCTCGGTCGGGCGTCTTGTGGAAGTGATCGATCCAGAACTTTGCACAATACCCAGCAAGTGGTGAACGGTTATAGAGCTCTTTACTAAGTGGTCCTTGGAAACGATTCAGGTATCCCAAACAGCCAATCGTCATTGCTTTGTGACATCCCGACTCCGTCATACTGTACTGCTTTGCCGGCCCTAGCTTGATTCTTTCTGAGACAAGGTACTCCTGGACCGAGTAGTGTGCAAGGGTGACTATCCCGGATAGCACCTCAGGCTCCGAATAGTAATCCTGATCCATATCCAGGATCCAATCCCGATACGAATCCGACTCCTCCATTTTGACAGTGACTAGACTGGAGCAGATTTCTAACGCTTCTAGAGGATCCACTAGTACTTCATCACAATCGAACGCGGGCTCGCGCGCAACATCGATGGCGGCAACTTCGGCAACTTCTTCAAGAGAGAGCGGCCTGGCAGAAAACGTGAGCCATTGTAAAATCCGAATTGTGTACATGCGGTCCTCTTCCTTGATGGCTGTGAGAATGCGGTCGTATGTCTGGTCTAGCGTTTGCGGCAAGGTAGCGAGCGACTTTCGTAACATAGATAGATTGCGACACTCTGCTATTACGTCAAGCTGACATGTAGCCCATCGGAACCTACAACATGGTCAGACTAAGCGCTATCCAAGCTGAGAAAATACACGTACATTCCTTGTGCCCCTCGCATCAGTGCTGTTTCGACCTCTTGCCTGACTTCAGCGTTCTTGTTCCATTTTGCCAGCCGCTTATCGTCACTCAGCTTTTGTTGAACGAATCGTAATATGTCTGCATCCACTACGCCTCTTTGAAGACAGATCATGTTATCTTTCAAAACGAAAGTGTTCAAGGACATCTCGATATCCCGCTCTTTCCGGCTGGTCATGAGCAGATGCGACATGTCAAGTTGCCATCCAGCCAGTGTTTCAAGTAGCTCCATCAGTTCTACCCGTTTTGCAGACTCATCGAGCGCATCAATAACGACGTACACATGCGAAAACTGTCGCATCGCCTCTGGTGTCACTTTCAGAAGTGCTTGCAGCGATGGCTGTTCTTTTCCATCTTTGCAGGAGGAGAATAACGCGTCGACGACCACAGGTATCGTTACCGAACGTTGCAGGAGCTGGCGGAGTAATGAGCGGAGCATAAGCTCTGGAACCTGCTTCTGTGCGTCGTTGAAGTCAAAGTAAAAGTACACCGTCATTTTACGTTTGTCATCACCGCAGTGGTGCTGCAAATGCTCGACAACAGTAGAGCTCAGGATGGTCTTTCCACAACCTGGTATCCCATGAAGCCATAGTCGCGAGGCTGGGTCTTCCTTCCATTCCTCGAACGTTTCGTTCTGTAGCAGCCATAGCCCAGTTCCCGCCTGCCGCTGCTTGTGCGCTTTGAGGTAGTTCATAGATGGGTCGGGTGCGGAAAGCCAGCTGCGTATTTGGCTAATCTTCTCCTCTCGTCCTTGCATCTCTTTCCTTAATCGCTTCAAGGCGTTCTCTTTCCCTTCACCATATATCAGTGGTAGAGGGCAGTCAACTATGCCTAATAGACAATAGGCACCGTCCTCTTCACGCGTCGTTTGACGCTTTTGTGCCCAAGAGAAACGTTCAGTGACATCGAAATTTGACAAGTCGCTCCCTGACAGAGCCTCGATCGGTATCTGAGTAACCTCGTGTATAGTCTGGTTTAGCGAATCTTTGTCACCCAGCCGCGCTCCGTCTGCAGAGAAGAACTCGACGGAGCGCGGAGCTAGAAGCTCTTGAAGCGTCCAACCTCGGGTAAACCACCTGCTCACCCTAAACGCAGCTTCCCATTCTGAGGACGGTCTGCTCTCTTCTGCGGAAGACTTGCCCTTGACATCTGGAAGGTAGACATAGCACTTGTCTGCTTTCTGATACCAGCGGAACATCGAGTTGATCGCCTCAGAGAGCTCCGTGTGATTTGCCCTGTCGATGCAGCAAGTGTCCACCCAGAAGTGTTCTAGGCCGTCAAGCTTCGCTTGTCGTGCACAGAAGCGGATCTTCTCCCAAGCGCCTTTCTTCTTTGTTGCGATGTCCTGCAGACCAAACGTCTTTACATCGTTAAAAACCACCTCTTCATCACCCCAGGTGTGGGAGAGGATAGCATAGGGAGGAATCTTGTCAGTACGAATGATGTCTTCCGTAAACCTGAAATTGCCATCGCTTATGATGTAGAGTAGCCGCATCGGATTCTGGATGCACGTATGAGCGCGCGCAAGATGTGGAGGTGGTGACGGTAAGGTATTGAGAGTGGTAACAAAGCGTCTGCTGAAAAAGAGGCAGAAAGAATGGGCGGCAAAAGCTGAGTGTCGGGGGCAGGCAGCAGGCGGCATCCTACCACCCACCGATAGCAGAAGGCGCAGCCCACCCAGCCTGCATCGTGGCGTCCACTGAGGGAAGGCGGGGCAAACCTGACAAGGCTGAACCACGGAAGGACACCATGATAGAAGCTGTCAAAGCTGAGGACGCGATGTGATGTTGCGGAGGGAACGATGCACATTGGTTGTAGTTCACGACAGGTTGGGAGCAGAACAGTCCACGGGTGAATCTGCGCGGCGCGTCTACGCGCTGGCGCTAGTCTTCAACACGTGACATGACTTGGCAGACAATGATCTGAATGTAATAAGATGGAAATCGGATAATGTCAATAAAAAAAACGACTATACTCTAGCCCTTACGCTCTCCAAACACCCAAACGCCCAAACCGCCTAACAAGAAAGGCTTATGATATACGTACAGTACGATACCAGTCCCAAATAGCAGGAACCACGCTGCCACTCATGCTACAACTAGCAGATGCGAGGCACCTAAAACCTCCCCACTACGCACCACCAGCCCGTCCCGTGGTCGTAGCACTACTAGGCTGATCATTATTCCAAGTCAAATACGTATGATCCCCCAACTTGCGCGGCTTGATCAGATGCGTAGCCAAGAAAACCGCTCCGAGCAAGATGCAAATGCCGCCGACAACGAGGTATGCGATGCCGAGGAAGGGGTTCTTGCCGCCCATGACGGTGCGCGTGGAGATGAGGATGGATTTTGTGCCGCTGTATTTGTCGACGGGGTAGCCTGGGGGGTGGGTTAGTGGGAGGGGTGGGGAGGGGGAGGAAGGGGGAGGACGGGGGAGGAGGGGTGGAAAGGGAAGAGCGATGGAGAGAACATACGGTCATAGATCTTAAGACGATAGGTACCAGCAGTCAGCACATCCTTGTCGTTACGCTGGTACAATTTACTGAACGTAGGCAGACCCGCGGTCCTCATCCACACCTGGAATTGCTCCCAGGTATGCAAGTTCGGCAGCTTATCGCCGTAACGGCCGTTCTCGTATTGTTCCTGCCAATTCGGTGGTGGGATAACATCCTCAGGCTTGTACTTTGTCTCGCCGTACAGATCACCCTCGTGGCTCCACGAAGTACCTTCTACAGTCATGGTGTAGTTCTGGCCACCGGCATTCGTTCCACCCGCGGGGTTGGCAAGCGTCAACTGGCTGAATGTGTCGTTGAACATGGAGTTCGCGATGAGACCGCAGGGGTAGTACGGCTTGCCCGTCTCGGAGTCTACGTCCAGCGGCGAGCAGTCGCCCGAGCTGAGGTCGCTGGCACTGCGGGCATCACCCTTGAGTTGTTGGATATCGACGGACTTGACGTAGCGGCGGTGGTTCTGGTAGAAGTTCGTGAGGCGGTAGTAGAACAGGATTGGCGGCTTGATGTCTTCCGGGATGTTGAAGCTGAGGATGCACACGTTGGTCTCTTGCTCGACGCCGGATTCGAATCTGTAGGTCTCGCGGCCCCAACCCCACATCGCCTGGGGGTCTTCCTTGGATCTAAAGGTCGCGGACACTCTGCCGCCGGGAATCGATTCGAGCGGGTTTTCGGCGTTGGGGTCGAAGTTTACGGGGACTTCGGGCGCGGTGCTGTTGCAGTTTGTGTAGTCGATTGAGATCTCCTGGACCTGCGCGCTAGCATAGAGAAGCAGCCCGCCGATGGGGGCAAAGATAACTCCGACGATGAAGAAGAGAGGCAGAACGGTCTTCGGCGTTAAGATGGGCCTGATGCGTGGTTAGTCGTGGATTGCCATCTGCCGCCATGAGTCCACCTACTGCCATGCCTTCAAGCGCTGCTGCCTGAACGCAGTATCTAGTATCCCATCAGCAATGCCCTCCTTCGCGCATGTCGATATCAGGCTTACTCGGCGGCCTCCTGCTCTTGGTCTTCTTCGGCTCGTCGCGGCTGGGGTCCTGGCTGCTGATGGAGTCGGTGTGCTCGACCTGTTGTGTGCGCGACATGATGGGCGGTTCCGCGCGACTCGGCGAGTCGATTGGTGGAGTGAAAGGTAGTCGTCGCGGGCGGGAGGAGTGGTGGGAGCGCGCGGGTTTGAGGTCGGCCAAGCCGTTGTCCCAAATTAGTGACAGAGCAGCCGCGCCACGCCTGCACGCCTGTGGAGCTTACGCATCCCCGCCCGAGACCCTGAGCCTTTCACGGACGTATCACGGACTCGTCATTGCAGCAGCATCGCAATACGCCATCAATTGATCAACGGACAGTACAGTGGTCACGTAAAGGCATTGCGTGAAACAGTCAATGTTATGTGAGATAGTGCATTCTGGTCTAGTACTAAATATGATAGAAAGCCTGCATTTGCGGCGACAATGTCCACACGGGACTACAACATTCGTTGGTGGGAGCTGAGGGGTATCGCATGCCGTTAGATAAAGAAAAGGAAAGTCGAGAAGCCCAAAAACGCCATGAGGGAGGACAGTATCCACTCCCGAACACCTGTTCATGCCAACAGTAATATCCATAAAACCCATCGAAACGCCGTTCATAATATCATGCGGAGGAGGACATCCATCACTCCATGTAAATCATACCAGTCTTATCCAAAGAAAGCGAGCCCAGTCAGGTGGGCCGCGAGATGCAAAGTGCAACTTGATGCATCGTAACCAAGAAGAGTAAAAAGAATGAGAGAGGCTATGCGATGCGGGCTCAGAGGTACTGGCGGAAGTAGTCGGGGTTGAACCAGCCTACACGGTCATATGACTGCCACAGTTTGCTAGCCTTGTTGACGTCAATCTTGCACGCCTGCTGGGCATCTGTCTTGCGGAACTCTTTGCCAATCTTGAGAGCCTCGATGCGGGCCTGGAAGATGCGTCGCTTGCTGGTGAGGTAGGTGGCGCAGTTGAGGCGGAGTGTGCCAGCGAGGTTCAACTCAGCCTCGTGCAGCAGCTCGCGATCGGGATCGTCGGCGAGCGAGAGCGCTTGCCCTTTCCACTCAGCCTTGAGCGCCTTGGTATTGCCCTTGGGCAGTGTGTCCAGGGGCGGGGCGTAGTCGGGAATGGCAGTGTAGTCAGAGTCGTCGCGGTTGGTGACTGGCCGTGCCGGCTTGGGAGAGGCTGACTTGGTGGTGGAAGAGGTGTCGAATGAGTCGTGGATCTGAGTAAGAGGCGTGCGCTTAGCCTTGGGTGCAGCACGAGGGGCGCGAGCAGGCAGCCGTGGAACAGCGACCTTGGGCTGGCGGAGTTTTGAAGATGGCGCAGGGGCGAGCTTCTTCAAGGCTGGTCGCTTCTGCACACGGCCGCTACGGACCTCGTCGATTTGCTTGTCGAAGGCGCGTTCTTGAGCCCACCAAGCCTTGGGGTTGTTGCAGGCCTCTCTGAATACAATGGATCGGACTTTGGCAACCAATTCGTAGTCAGCGCGGCTCGGCTTGCTCTGTAGTTGTGCATAGTCGTGGGACTTCATGTGCGCGGTGATGACATCTTGCGAGGCTGACTCGGGTGACTCGTCGGGGAACAGCGGCATGTGAGCAATTGGTGCCGCTGCATCAGCCGAGACGAACAGCTGGGGATCGCGTGTGCACTGCTCCTCCGAGCTCTCCATGTTCTCCTTCTGTGCCTGTGTGTCGTATGGGGAGATTGGCGGGGAGGCGTAGGCGATGCGGTGGGCGGCTGCTGCCTGGATCGCCATGAAGTCGGTCTTCACAGCAGACTGCGAGGGTGCTGAATTGAAGGAGGAGAAGGGTGATTGAGAGTAGGCAGGCGGAATTGACGTGCCAAACGACTCTGATCGCTTCATTTCAGGGGGCGAGAGGAGGGAGGAAACGGTGAGCCGATTGCTCGGGGGCGTCTTATAGTGCAAGTTTGCCATTGCGGTGTGGTGCGAAAGTTTGTCCTTTGGTTAAAGCGCAACGTCGGGGCGGTAGCGATATATGAATGTGTCCAGGCAGCCACTGGAGCGTGGTGCGTTGGTAATGCGATCAATGGTAGAGTATGAGTGGAAGGAGGGAGCCTTGGTTGAGCGAACGGCTTCGCCACAGTTATGCTGTCAGGTGTGCCCGGGCGCAAACGTGACCGTGGAAGCCGGCAGAATGGTCCGACCGACTGCTTATACCAGTTATGCGAGCGGGCAATTAGTCAGGCAGTCGTGACAATTGAAAAAGCAGTGCGGAGTTAGGACGATTGAATTGCGTGGTAGGTTAGTCGTCCCGAAACAGACGGGGTGAGCGAGCTGGTTATAAGAAGCACCACCCAGGCGCGTCGGGGGTTTCAGTAGGCTACAGGATGGACAAGGCCAGTGTGACTGTCCTTTGAGACACTGCGGCCCATGTGCTAGCGAACCAGACAAAGAGGGTGTGCGGTTGGCGCGTGCCAGCAGGCTCTCATCCTCCCAGGCCAGGCATCATCCATAAGAGGAGCGCCCGTTGCGCGCGGCCGGCAGCTGACGAATGCGGGCGGCCAAGAAGTGAATAGAAGGAAGACGAAGGGGGCTCCAATGAGAGCGGCCAATTGCGCAGCGACGCGTGAGGCGGAGCTGGGAGCGCGCAATGCTCTCTGACTGTCTGAGAGATTGAGTCACTGCACAGGCGATTACCTGTCGCTCCGTCCCAGCAAACCGGGCTAGTCCATCGGGGCCGAATGAACCGTCCCCATCGTCACATCATCACTGCGCTCCAGGGCTACATACACGTTGCCTGCCCTCATTGCGCCCTGGATGCAGCGACTGAGGCCTGGTAGTATGTCATTGGTACCCGATTCCAGTCAATTCCCAGTCCTCCCAGCCAGCGTGTCACCGCAGCGCCCAATGGCGACGGTAGCGTTCCTAATCCCCATTCCCTCTACAGATCGCTTCCGGTGGACAGTGTCCGAGTCACCGCTTCCGTCATCGTTCCTCGTACTACGCTATTATGC